ACCACTGGGTACACTGGCTCTTGGATCTCTAAGGAGGTGCTAATTTAGCCTCTGCCTGAGGCTACCCAGCAGGTGCTATGGAGAGATCTGCAGATTCCTCTTCTTTGTTTGGGGTTTGGAGATGCCCAGATGAGGCCCAGCTGTGAAGCATTGCAAGCTGCTGTGGGGCCTTGGGCCTTCTTTTGGATGTTCTGGGTCTCTCTGACCCAGCTGCAGTTTGTTAGGTAATTTTAGATTGCAGAGGGCCAGGCCATTCATATGCAAAAGCCTCTGCACACAGCTTGGGTGGGGCAGGGTCTCAGGGAATCAACAGGGTGGAGCAAACAGCTATGGCTGATTCTCAGCCCTGCCCTAAGAGGCCCCGGGTCTCAGTGTCCTGTGGTAATCACTGCAAGCACCTCTGAGAGACAGCTGCCCTCAAGTTCCGCCCGATGCCAGACAGTCCAGTTTCTCCTCGTATGAGCTTGTGTCCCCAGAGACTCACCCGGAACTGGAGTTCAGAGCAGTCAGGAGCTTGTGACTCCCTCCTAATTTAAAAAGACAAACGCTTCCTCAGTTGCCAGCCCTTTCCACATGTGCCTCCGTACCTCTGCACTTTTCTTTCATATCTCCTCTGAGTTTCAGTGTGCTTTTCTCTTTCCACCTTGTGAGCTTAGCTGAAATTCCTTGAGAGTTATTCAAGAATGCCGCCATGCTGGCCCAGGCTGGCTGCCACTGACAGAACCCTTAGCCATAGAAGAATGATTTTCTAAAGAGAAAATGGAAAGGTTATTGGGTGTTCTTATATCCAGTTTTTCCTTAGTTTTAGCTAAGCCAGATAGATGAAAGTAGATACTTCTTGCTACATTATACTTTATTTGTACACATCTGATATACTCTGAGTCCACAGTGGCCCCACTGAAGGGAGCTGTTTTGTGGGAGGTAGACAAGGAGCCAAATCTGGGTCTCCTGTAGCCAGAATTAGTATTCCATGTTTAGGATACTCAAAGATGGTAAAGCTTAATGCTGGCATTGCTGTGCTGTCATGGAGAGCATTAGTCATCTGCTTTTTTTAGGTGGATGCTCACACCAACTTAATATTGCCCACAAACCTAACAAGTGTGTATTAGAATGTTTGGGTATATTTTCAAAAAAGGTGTTTCATGATTATTGTATTAAGATCATTCCACCTTACCCCAGTTTTAGGATGCACTTAAACATTTGCAGTTATTCTTTTTTTAGAAAACATATTTTTATTTCAGAGAAGAAGGGAGAGGAAGAAAGAGATAGAAACATCAATAATGAGAATCATTGATCAGCTGCCTCCTGCACGCCCCATACTGGGGATCAAGCCTACAACTGGGGCATGTGCCCTGACTGGGAATTGAACAGTGACCTCCTGATTTATAGATCGATGTTCAACCACTGAGCCACACCAGCAGGGCTGAGATTATCCTTGATTTTAGCTATTTGATATTGAATAATTCTTTATAGAAGAAAAAAACAAGTTAATGAGGTAACAGGTAGTTGGTGTCTTTTGGCTAATTTCAGAATTAGAGTGAAGGTTAGAGGCTTAGTTTTCTGGTGGAAAGTATCTAAACTTTGTTTTAAGGGATCCCCCCCCCCAAAGTAGTTTACATGTGTTATTTAATTTAATTCTTACCATAACTGTGTAATAGTCATCTCCAATTTGGAGCAGAGAAAAATAAATCTTTTGACAGTAAGTCCAACAGTGATTACTAGTTTATTGGTTACTTCAAGAAAGCCTTATTTCAGTGTTTTTCCTTGACAGATGCACTCTCTGTTCTAACTTTATATACGTGTATTTATTCTAAGGGAACTATAGTTTTTATAGTTGTTTTTAGTCACAATTTTGTCAAGAAAGTAATGCAGATAGTGTGTTTTAGTCAAGGACAATAGGTACATGTGTATCTGTGTGGTGCATGTACTTTTAAGTATTTATGGAGTGTAAGAGTAGTTTTATATAGTAACAGTCATTGTGTGTTTTTTAAACTTTCTAAGATTTCATTTCTGTACAAACAAGTGTGAAATTATTAGGGCCAAAATACCAATGTTTGTCTTTCACTCACTGTATCTGCACTTCATAAAAATGCTTAAATATTACTTCATCATCTTTAAATTTGCTTTTCAGAATGTGAAATCTGTGAACTAATACTTGAATATTTATGGAGTAACCCTGATTTTTGCAGGTGTTGCAAGTCCTTAGGAATATTTAGCTTAATTTGGAACAGTATTCCCTATTTTTTGCTCGGTCTTTCATTTTTAAAAACCAAGTTACAGTAAATCTATCTATGTATAATCCTTTTGAATCTTTCAACAGTAGTTTGGTTAGGCATACATGTTCTCATAGTGCACGCTATCCTGATTGAAATGCAAAGAGAATTGTTTTACAGATAGTACATATCACTATGTAGATGTTATGTGTCCCTGCAGTAACATTTTTTGTTTTATAGAATGCTTGGTTAGGATCAGCAGTCTCAGTTAAAAAATGAACTAATAAAGAATACTGTCAACTATAAAATAAAATAAAATTTAAAAAAATTAGAACAGAAACAAGTAAAAGAGAAAACAAGTACAATAGGAAAAAACAATAAAAAAAGAACACTGTTTCTTAACATTTTTTGTCATTGAGCAGAATTATTTTATAGTGTCTATTTGTATGAAAGTTGTCCATTTCTAAAAAACACATGTATAAGGTCATTAATTTAAAATACTTTGTAATATGTTCATGGTGGTATGATCATGGTGATACGCTGCTAGTTGAGAGTTGAACAAGGTGGAGTTTAAATCTTTTATGCTGACATATGTTAGTCTTAGGTGGTTTAAGCAGCTTTGTGCCTATAAAATTATTTGCCTCAGAATTAGTAGAACAGGCATTTGGGTGATGATCCAGTGGGATGCCATCATACTTGCTTCTCAGAGTAGGGTTCATGGACCAGCAACATCAGCATTACTGGGAGGTGGTTAGATATACAGTCTTGACCATTCCCAGATTCCTCCATCAGAATCTGCATTTACACTTATACACTTATACATTTGCAATTATTCTTTTTTTAGAAAACGTATTTTCCAGATGGTTTGTATCCATCTGGGCACATTAAAGTTTGAAAAGTCCTCCTGTAGACGACATAAGACTTGGCATCTGGACAAGAAACCAACATTTCTGTATCTGAGGTTGCAGGGATATAAAGATTTAGCAGTTATTTCTTAGAATAAAGAAACATAAGTTAGAAGTACATTTCTCTTTAGGATTACTCATTTACTTTGATACTTTCATCTTATTCACCAAAAAAGAAAAACTTGATTTCATCCGTACCAAGTGAGCAAACCTGGCTATTGTTAAGTCTTCCCCTAAGAAGTGGCATCCTCTGAATTTGAATGAAATTGAGTTTTGAGAAAAGGAGATGGAAGACTGTGGCCCAGGCATAGCATATACTATCACTCACTAGGCTCGTTTTGTGACGTCAGGAATGCAGACATACTTTATTCCATCCTAATTAATGAATAAGTATGTCCTGAATGTCTGCCGTGTGCAAAGTGAAACAGAGTGGATCAAACCTTTACTCGGAGAGTTTACAGTCAGGACAGGGAACTGTCCTTGAAAGTCAGGCAACCTGTCACCATGGTATGTTGGGATATGGCCTTGTGGACCCATTAGTAAGGCTTCTCCTAAGGGAGAAGGGAGAGTAGGAATACAGCACTCATTTTCGTCAGTTATGCCTTTTCCATCAAGGTATGTACTGTTATATCAGTATATTTAAGGGGAATTAGAATTCAGAGCAAGAACCAAAGAAATGCAAATGCCTAGATGTACCTTCTCCTAACAGACTTAATGTAATATTTGTTGTGGCATACTCTGTCTCTAAATTTTTCAGTTTGCTTTAAGGAAAAGTCTTTTGCTTGCATTCTGCTTCAGTTATTTTAAAACTCCCTTCAATTTTGCTCAACTTCTGAGGTGGCTGTAGGAGCTCATTGACTTTTCTGGGGATTTTATTTTAAAACTTCTTAGCGAGGGATCCCTCCGTACAAATGAAGTCTTGCTCAGGAGTGTGAGCATAAGCCACACGGGAGGAGGGGCTGTTCTTGTTGAGCCTGCCTATGTCTAGCTCTTTCATGTATCCTTGAGGGTGGGGATGAGGATAGGGGTCTTGAGTTCTAGGGCACAATTGGAAACTAGTGTCCTAGTATTAAGAACACCACCAGGACTGCTATTATTTTAGAAAAAAGATATTTTTTTTCACAACACCTTTTACCTGCTTCCCTTCTTTCTGATTTTTATCCTGTAATACAAAGTTTTTCTATCTTGCACAGGTGACCCAGAAATCTTCAAGATAGGAAGTCAGCTGTTTGTAGTCACTACATGTGAAATGTGTTAAGCATGTGGGACCTGGGACAAGACACAGAAACACAAAGATGCTTCTCAACAACATACACTTTTCTGACATGCAATTGGCAAGCATATTGCTAGAGCAGAGATGGGGGCTTGCCATAAAGTTTCTCAAAGGGAAGGAACTATAAAGGAAAATTATAGCATAGTATAGTATACTTTGAAATTATAAATACCGTTCTTTACATTTTTTGTGCTAACTCTATTACTTACTTTTAGAAATTTGTATATAACTTCAAAACACTAATAATGGCATTTCACTTATGCCACAGATCTTTTCCTCTGCAAAATCTCAATTATGAACTTAACTCTTGAGACTAGGAAGACACTGTGTTATATTATAAATCATATTAAAAACTTTTCCCGCCCTTAGAAAGGCATATTAGGCTTCTTATGAGAAGAAAAGCTTTTGTTCAGGATTTTTCAGTGGATAATACATTTTGTCTTGAACAGGATTTAAATGGCAACTTGATAATAGAACACTTTAGGAGATTGGTGAATGTTTCACTTAAGGATTAGCTCAGATTTTATGTCATGATTTTACTAGAAATTATTATGTAGTCATATCACATTGTGACACACCATGCTTAGTGAATGCTCATTTTTTCTGCAGGAGAACGACTCAGGCACTTTGGACACAGTGGGCGCTGTGGTTGTGGACCACGAAGGGAACGTTGCTGCTGCTGTCTCCAGTGGAGGCTTGGCCTTGAAACATCCAGGGAGAGTTGGGCAGGTGAGTCGTTGGGTCTTTAAACTAGCTTTACAAGTTAAAACATGGCATTTTCTAGCTCACAAATCTTAAACTATAGAGACCTTTTTTCTTTAGAAAAAAATATTGTTCTTTAACATTTTTGTAGTATAAATCATCAATCAAAAACTTTTTACGATTCTTTCTAAAAAAAAATTCTCATAGTACTAGGGCTCTTTCTGATCTTTACCATTGGTAATCCTGTGTTTTACTACTTTGGACAGGCTGGGCATATAGTAGACGTTTAATAAATGCGCGTTGATTTCCCTTTTCTTTCTTTGTGTCATTCTTTTTAGGAGCAAGCTCTACCTGACTATTATTACTGCTTGCTTTTTAGGTGGGAAAATGATTTTAGAGTTACATTTTGTGTTTCTTCCATTCAAGGAATATTTGACCCTCTAAATTGCTCCTCTGATTAAACATTTCAGCTATTTTATAGACTAACCAGTATTTCAGGTTACCACATATGATACCATTCAAGAAATCTGTTTATAAGGAGGGTCTAATGTATGTGCAACTGGCTTATTTCCAGTTCACTTGCACATCTTCGCCCTTCCCCCTCCCCTTGTCTCCTATCATCAACCTCTAGGGCTATACTGAGAATGAGATTTAACAGTCTGTTTGATCTAGGAAGCTTTCTGAGTATAAACCAATTTGGCACATTGCTTATAGGCTTAATAAATATTTGTTAACTGAACAAATGAATTGGACACCATCATGGAATCTCTTAAAGTAGTTGCAAGGTGTGGTTAAGCTCAGTATTTGGATCTTGTGTTACATGTAGAGCACTACTTGGCTGCTCTTTCACTTTGTTTCTCATGTTTAAAGAAGAGTCAATGCCACAGTTGCTTTGGACATGGTGGTTAGTGAATGCATGAAGCAGAGTGATCTGATTCATGGAGGACATCTTTGCAAAGCCTCAAGTGTTGTTCCCTAATCTGCGCTTTATTGTGGATAAACTACTTGTGGTCCTATGGGGGAATAGGGAAGGGAAGAACAATTAATTTTGTGCAATTCTTTGTCTACTGTAGAAGGGGATTTATGGGGAATGATTACTCAACATGTGTACAATGCTTTGAACTCATTATAAAAAGCCTTTGTCTGCTCATGGTATTTTTCCACATTATATCGTCCTGTGTATTTGTCGAGTTTGGAATAAGAAAACCAAAGTTGGCATATCAGTTTTGGATGCCTTGGTGGAGAAGGAGAGAAAAAAGCCAGCAGAGCCCCCTTCATAGCTTTGTAGTTCCCATGACTTTCTCACTGCTTTTTTTGTTTGTTTTGGTTAGCAAAATAGCAACAACTGAACCAAGGATAGTTCTGGACTGTGTTAGTAGGATATTACATCCAATAGTCTTAAAGCCATTCTGCCACTGCAAACAGGACTCTCCTGGATAAAGAAATACTTCTGTAAAACTTAATGTTTATTTGCTGCACTTGGCGAGTTTATGAATGCACAGTTTGTGAGAGATGAAAACTCAGGAAAGGGTGTGGAGGAGAGGAGTCAAGGTACTTATAGCAAAATACAGTTGCTAAATTGGATTATATTGCTTGGAAAAGGAGATGCAATTTGCCTCGCCTGGAAATATGTAAGCATCAGATGAGAGGTAAAGAACTGTTCTTCTTGATAATCAGGACAGAGTATGACAAAATACATAAGCAAATTATTATTTAAATGTGCTAAAATTAGATACTTTTAAATACATTTAAATGTACAAATGATTTAAAAATTTTAGCATATTACCCTTCTTTAGATATAAAATAACAGTTCATACAGTAAAATGGCAATTTGAATGAGAACTTATTTGCTTCTTCAGTTTACTGTAATAATTAGATTTAGAACTGGGACATGAGCACAGAATTTATTATATTCTTCGCCTCCCTTATACCTCCCTCCTACTCAAATACAAATAGACAGTTGAGTTAAGTGGAGTGGGTCAGAGTATGAACCTTTAATCTAATTCCACCTTTCCATTTACCAGTCTCCTTACTGTGGACAATATTCTTAAGCTCTACTTTCCACAACTATAAATGGGGACAAATAGCTACCTTACAAAGTTCTAGAAAATTAAATGACATAATGCATTAAATTACTTATCATAGTCCCTCATGATAACAGCTATAGCCATTGTTTATGCTATGTGTGACAGGCATGTTAATTCACATGATACTACAGCACTAGGAGGAGGGTGTTTTTATTATCCTCATTTTATAAAAGAGGAAACTAAAACTTAGAGAAGATTAAATAATAATAATAGTAATACAATTTATATGATCTTTTACTGCATGATAATAGCTTTAATAAAATTTTACTACTAAAAGAAGGAAACTTTTAAAATTGTTTAAGTCTGCTTAAGGTTGCTATGTTTTATCCAAAGAAGTGGATAAGAGAGACAATCTCTGATTCTTTAACTTACCTGTTTGTATCTCAGCCCAACGAATTTCAGAAGGTTACAAAATAAGACAACTTTAGGTCATAAAATTGAAAGTAACCCAAAGGGAATTTGCTTAGAAGAAAAAAGAGTAAGAATAAATGTTCTGGGTTTCTACGAGGTATCCTTGTGCCTTATTTAGTGTGTGTGTGTGTGTGTGTGTGTGTGTGTGTGTGTGTGTAGGGGGAATGGAAGGACAGTGGACTCATGTCCAGGATTTTCAATGAAGGAAGAATGGGCCCTTCTCCTGAGGTCATGTGTTCTCTGAGGCTTTGGCTGACCCAGCATCTGTCCCAGGCAGTGCCAGTTGAATGGCTGATCTCACAAGTCTGCCAGTTTTCTTACGAAATCCATGTGCCGAATCCCTTCTGTAGGCTTTCAGTTGCCACTCTGACCAGCCGTCTTAGGTATTTAGGAAGCATGGTGTTTTGAACGTTAGTAATGTCTTCCTACTGTCTGCTCTATTGGAAGTGTTGTGTTCGGTTCTCAGTTTAACTCTTTTTTTCTTCTTATTATTAAAACAGCTTTATTGAGATATAACTCACATACCATACAATTCACCCATTTAAAGTGTATAACTCAATGGTTTTTAGTATGTTGACAAGATGTGTGCCACCATCAGCACATTCAGTTTTTTATCCAAATCATCTTTTATGTTTCTACATTAAAGATTGCTTTAATGCAATTCCTATAGAGGATGCTTTTCTGATTTAGTATGAATTTTCTTTTTAACTTTCAGATTTTTTTTCTTTATTGATTAAGGTATTTACATATGTGTCCTTATGCCCCCATTGCCTCCCTCCCCCACCCCTGTTCGTGCCCTCACCCCCTTAGTGTCTGTGTCCATTGGTTATGTTTATATGCAGGCATACAAGTCCTTTGGTTGATCTCTCCCTCTTCCCCCTCCCCTCCCCTGCCTTCCCTCTGAGGTTTGAGGGTCTCAATCAGTTTTACTTTTAAGAGGGCTATATTCATGACAACTGGGGATGGCAACTGTGGGTCACAACTTCATCTCCAAGTTTCCTTGGTTTTGTATTATTTCTCAAAGAGGGTGACTAGGAGAGTGGAGTGTGTGTGTACATTTTAAAGTGTTGAGGAACAGTTCACAAATCTAGTATTCTTTGAGTGAGAAAAGAATAATCAGGGCCCTAGGATAGCTGTTTTTAAAATCAAAAAACAGCTTTAGGAGGAGGTTAATGCATTTCCAAAGAATAGAACTAGTACTAGTGGGTGGAAGTTATGATAGAGCAGATATTCCTATGCAATTGAAGGAAGAACTTTTCGTCAATGGGAAGTGTCCAAAAGGAGGATATGTTCCCTTATGAGATAGTGAGCTTCTCAGATTCAGAAGTGTCTGGGATATTTCATGGAGATTCCTGCTCTTGGTAGAATATTAAAGCAAATGAGCTCTGAAGTCCTTGTGAGAAAGAATAGAATCTTATAGAAAGCTAAAGTTTGGTCACCATTGCCAGTCTTCTTCCTCCATTCCTCAGAAGTGAGCTCCTAGAAAAAAAAAGTACTATTTTATGGGAATATCTTTTTCCTCCATCAATCAATCTGGATGCTGAATGTATTGTCGCGGCTTACCTCTTTCTTCTTTTTTAGGAACTAATTTAATTTTTTTTGAAACTTTGCATTGAATTCCACATATTGCTATGCCAGTTTAGCCATTTCCTTACTGATTGACATTTAGGTTGTTTTCAGTTTTTCATTCTCACCGAACATGTGCTATTGCACATTGTTGTATTTCTCTAGATAGCTATTTAAGGTTTTTTATAAATCTGTTTCTAACTAAGGAGTGGAAAATTATCAGATGTGATTTCCTTTCTAAAGGTAGAGCAGTGGTTGTGGATATTGAAGAGATGTATCTAGACATTTTGGGTAGCATTAATTGGAAACAAAATAGGAATGATTGACCCATTCTTTTATAAAATCATTGTTACTTACTTTGTTCCTAATGGTTTGAGACATATAACTATGCTCCAACACTTCACAAAGTTATTACCTTAAACAGGCCCCTTTTTCTCTTTTGTTTACACCTGACAGAATCTAGCACGGTGGTGAACATATCCTGGGCCCTTTGGTACATAATTGTTTGCAGTTCCTATTGTGCCACCCAAGGGAGGCATGGAAAAGGTCCTCCTCAGCGGAGTTTCCTAGAGCATGGCAGAAGAACCACTGGCATCCCAGCCTTCCAGGGCCTTGGTGAATGTAGCCAATTCCTGGCCTCGTCCCCAGACCACTGACCGAGAGTATCTGGGAACCAAGGCTGCTGTCACCATGCTCCCCCCAAAATTTGATACACACCTAGTCTGAGAACCACTGTTGTAAGGCAACCATAATGATTTCAAGGGGCCAGAAGAGCAACTAGCTGACAAATTACAATGGGGGAAGATTTTTCAGGCGAAGAAAAATTACTGTTGATAAAACTAAGAAACTTTCTTTTGCTATTTTCTGAAAATTTTTAGATTACTGCAATGGCTGAAAATATAGTTTTAATAGTGTTAGAATGTTATTTGGATAGGTTTTATATAACCTCTGTTATTATTGCCCGGTTGTTATACATCATTACTAAATTTATTAGATGGGTATGATTTTGTCTTCTGTTGAAAGCCAGTAATTACTTATAATATTTCTGTAATATTGTATTTATCTATTTTCTTTTTCCCCAGGCTGCTCTTTATGGATGTGGCTGCTGGGCTGAAAACACTGGAGCTCATAATCCCTACTCCACAGCTGTGAGTACCTCAGGTATTTGCTGCTTTCATGGCCATTTTTCATAACTTCAACCTTGTAGGTCATTTAATGATTAAAAACTATTTCTATGTAAGCATGTGCTAAGACACTGCACAGACAAGAGCACTGATACATAAAACATCTTTGATATTTGAAAGCTTTTAAGGACCATTTCACAATATAAATATCACAGTGTAAATGATTTCCTAACATTTCAACACAATTCTGGAGTTAACTATAACTTAATAATATCTTTATGTGTTTTTTTCTCTCGAATGATTCATGTTAGTGCCAAATTTAGATCACATATATAAGAGTAGCAAGGCATTTCAAAACTAAGATATTCTCTTAAGTAAAATATTGACATAGGTGTATTTCAAAATGTATAATTTATGACATGCAATCCTCTGCACTTTTAATAAAATGTACATCTTCTTTTTGTACCTGTATTTGAAAAGTCATTATCATTTAGAAATGAGTGTGTGTGTATGTGTGTGTTTGGGGTGGGGGGGGGGTTAATTTTAATAGCAGAATGGTTGGTGTCTTGATCCAAGTTTTTATGTGCTTGTGCCAGATGTACCGAAGCCTTTTCTTTTAATGTGGTGATATGCATGGTTGACGAAATAATATTGGTTTATATTGACAAAATCATATTGGTTTGCTTTTACCTATCAAGCTACAGCCCTAGGCCTTTCCTCCCATGACCTCAGGTTTTATTAGTAAGGAAGATTGATATGCCTGCCTCTCCTTCCATTCCCTCTTCAATCCAGTGGCCTTCTTCTCTTGATAACTCTTGACTCTTTCTGTGATCTCTGATGTAGGTGGCTGTTTTCTGTCTGTATCATAGATTCTGGAATTTTTTTGGTTTGTTCTGCTTCTCTGACCTGCTCTATCTTTGCCTTCTTCACAGATTCTTCCCATTGCTGACAACTGCAGATTTGGGCCCCTGCTGTCTTTCCTTCATCTCACTGTGTGCATTCTCTTGGTGGTTTGGTGTTATTGCTGTGTTTCATTTTAGCAGTTATCTCTAAGGGTATTGGCTTCTACTCAGGACTTTTTCCTTGAGGCCCATGCGAGTCATTACCTACTTCCTGTTGGACATGTCCCTGTGGATGTCATGTATACATATCAAATTCAGCAGACTCAACAAAACATCTTGTTTCGTATTCCCACTCTTTGGCCATCTTTCTCCTGTATTCCCCATCTCTTTTATTGCCATCACTGTTTTGTTCTTTGCTCAGACTTGAAATCTGGGTACCATTCTCATATACTTTTTTTTTTTTCCTGCTTATCTGACCCTGTCATTTCAGGTCTACATTATCCTGCTTGCCTATTGTAGCAAGCAGTCTCCTGACCTAGATTCATTCCTTTTTTTTTTTTTTAATATATTTTTCTTGAATTCAGAGAGAAGGGAGATGGATAAAGAGATAGAAACATCAATGATGAGAGAGAATCATTGATTGGCTGCCTCTTGCACGCCCCCTACTGGGGATCGAGCCTGCAACCTGGCATGTGCCCCTGCCTGGAATTGAACCTGGGACCCTGGTTCAGTCTGAAAGCCGGCACTCTGTTCACTGAGCCAAACCAGCTAGGGCTAGATTTATTCCTTGTATCAGTGGAAAAATTAGACTGTCAGCCACTGGTCTATCAGGTGAAGTCCAAATGCAAATTAATGTTGAGTCTAAACCACAGTAATATAATTGGCAAAAAGTTGTTTTCAGTCTTTTAATTTTGAAGAGGTGAGTATAATATAATGAGTTAATTTTTAATTTAATATGGTAGCACATGGAAACCTATACACATAATATTTAAGAGTTAGCTTGTGCTCATAATTAAGTATGGCCCTATGTCTATGGAAAATTGTAGTATTTGAATAAACTAAAGTCTAAAATAGATAATTCATTATTTCCTCTTTATTTTCTTAAAGAAGTGTCAGTTTGTATTATCTGTCAATTTTATTGTTGGTCAATGTGTTGTTTAGTAAGTCGGTTTGTTCTTTAAATGTTACTCTCATGTCTAGACGTTAGGAAACCTAGATTCTACATTTAAGCTGAAATTCTGAGAGCTTGTGTGTGTCATGTTAGAAAATAAATTCAATTTCCTTGGGATATTGCACTCCCTTCCTTCCTTTTTTAAATTGATGATATGGAAGTTAGGATAACAACACATTTACTGGATTTGATTCTGTTAAGTAGGTGGATAAAGCTAAAATTGTAAAATTAAGGTATTTTCCTCTTTCTCATGGCTATTTTCTTCTTTGCACAACTCGGATTAATTGAAGATAGTTTCATATGACTAAAGATTAGTTTAGGTTTCCAGTTCATGACATCCATTGTAGCTTTTTAACTTGGATGCCCAGCTGATCGTGTTACATCCATCCCAAGTTAAGACTAACCATCATCATCCCATAGAACCTGAAGATATTAGAGCAGGTCTGCTGTTCCTTCCATCTGTGGGACTTTGTGTGATTTCTTTACCCTTATTTTTCCTGGGGCTGTTTCTATGAGGTTGACAATGGAAACACATGGAAGAGTTGGGTGTTCAGGTCATAAGAAAGGTGGAGCACAGAATTTTGCAATTGTTTGGCCAAAATAAAAAAGACTTGTGCCTTAGGCTGTTGCAGAAAATCCAAAGACCTGGCCTACATTTTAGGTTTATAGTTTTGGAAGGTGATACTTGAAAGGCAGAGGGAAGACAGTTAGTTATGGTCAGAGAAGGGCTCTCCCAAAGTCAGACAGGACATGGTCATTAGCCTGAGGGATAAACTCCAGCATCTTGCTCTCATCACTGGGTGGGGAGCAATGAGTAGGGGGTGGGGAAGTGGTTAGGGAGACAGGCGCTGACCTTGCAAACTCTGACTAATGTTCTGGCCTCACAGAAATTTGCCTAGCTAGGGAGGAGCAGAGTAGATACTTGGGTCCTTGTTCAGACACTTTTACTCATTGGCTGTGACCAGGGCAAGGGGTTATTTGTAAAACAGGAGTAATATCTACCTTAATATTTATGAGGATTTAATGAGTTGACATATGAAAGTTACCTAGCACACTTCTTGGTCCTGAGTAGTGGCTCAATATTTAACTGTATTTTGTTGAATATAAGTCACCATCTTTTATAATATGCACCACTATTTAAAAAAATACTAGTTAATTCCTTATTTTTATTGTGGTAAGTTTTTACCATTTTAACCATTTAAAAAATCTAAGTATAGTTGGCATACAATTTTATATTAGTTTCAGGTGTACAACATAGTGATTTGACATTTATATACCCTACTAAGTGATCACCACGATAAGTCTAGTAATCATCTGTCATCGTACAAAGTTGTTACAATGTTCCTGACTACATTCCTTATGCTGTACAGTATATCTCCATTTCTTATTTACTTTATAACTGGAACTTTGTACCTCTTAATCTCCTTCACATTTTCACCCATCCCCCTAACCTTCTTCCCTCTGGCAACCATCAGTTTGTTCTCTGTGTTTGTGAGTCTATTTCTGTTTTGTTTTGTCTGTTCCTTGATTTGTTTTTTAGATTTCACATATAAGTGAAATCATACATAACTGTGTTTTTCTATTTGACTTATTTCACATAGCATAATACCCTCTAGGTCCACCCATGTTGTCGCAAATGACAAGATTTTATTCTTTTTATGGCTGAGTAATATTCCATTGTGTGTATGTACCATATCTTCCTTATCCATTCATCTATCAATGGACACCTACTTTGTTTCCATAGCTTGGCTATTGTAAATAATGCTGCAATGAACACAGGGGTGCATATCTCTTTTCCTATTAGTGTTTTTATTTTCTTTGTGTAATTGCCCCAAAGTGGAATTACTGGGTTACATGATAATTCTGTTTGCAATTTTTTAATGAATTTCCCTATTATTTTCTATACTGGCTGTGCCAATTCACAATGGCACCAACAGTGCATGAGGGAAGGTTCTCTCTCTCTCTCTCTCTCTCTTTCTTTTTTACATCCCCACTACTACTTGTTATTTGTTGTGTGATTTCTTTTTCATAATTGCCATTTAGACAGGTATGAGGTGATATCTTATGTGGTTTCAATTTGCATTTTCCTGATGATTAGTGATGTTGAATATCTCTTCATGTGTCCGTTGGTCATCTGTATGTATTCTTTGGAGAAATATCTCTTTAGGTCAACGGTTCTCAATCTGTGGGTTGCAACCCCTTTGGGGGTCGAACGACCCTTTCACAGGGGTCACCTAAGACCATCAAAAAACACATATATAATTACATATTTTTTTGTGATTAATCACTATGCTTTAATTATGTTCAATTTGTAACAATGAAATTGGGGGTTGCCACAACATGAGGAACTGTATTAAAGGGTCGCGGCATTAGGAAGGTTGAGAACCACTGCTTTAGGTCCTCATTTTTTAGTTAGGTTATTTTTTTGATGTTGAGTTTTATAAGTTCTTCTTATATCTTGGATATTAACCCCTTATTGGATATATAATTTGCAAATACAGTTGTGCGCTACATAACAACCTTTCAGTCAATGATGGACCACATATACAATAGTGATATATCATATAGCCTAGTTATGTAGTAGGCTATTTCATCTAGGTTTGTGTAAGTACACTTTATGAGGTTTGCACAATGATGAAATCACCTAACATTGCAGTTTTCAGAATGTACCCTTTTCATTAAGTGGCATTTGACTGTGTTATCTCCCATTCACTAGATTGTGTTTTCATTTTGTTGATGTTTTCTTTTGTTGTGCAAAACCTTTTTAGTTTGTTGTAGTCCATTTGTTTATTTTTGCTTTTGTTGTCCTTGCCTGAGGAGACATATACAAAAATATACTGTTAAGAGAAATGTCAGAAAGCTTACTGCCTATGTTTCTTTTATGAGTTTTACTAGAGGCCCAGTGCATGAAATTCGTGCATGGGTAGGGTCCCTAGCTGCCGGCTGCTGGTGGGGGCCTCCCTTCCCCGGCTGCCAGCCAGGGCCTCCCTTTCTCCGGCTGCCGGCCGCGGGCTGGGGTCTTCCTTCATTCCGCACTGCCGCCTGGTGGTCAGCACACATCGTAGCGAACAATTGAACTCCCGGTCAGTCAAACTCCTGAGGGGACACTTTGCATATTAGGCTTTTATGTATATAGATGGTTTCAGGTGTTACATTGAAATCTTTAATCTATTTTTGAGTTTATTTTTGTATATAGTATAAGAAAGTGGTCTAGTTTTATTTTTTGCATGTATCTGTCCAGTTTTTCCAGCATCATATAGTGAAGACACTGGCCCTTCTCTATTGTATGTTCTTGCCTTCTTTGTTGTTGATCAGATGACCAGATAAGCATGGGTTTATTTCTGGGCTCTCTATTCAGTTCCATTGATCCAAATGTCTGTTTTTTAAAGACTATTTTTTTTAAAAATATATTTTTATTGATTTTTTTACAGAGAGGAAGAGATAGAGATAGAGAGTTAGAAACATCGATGAGGGAGAAACATCGATCAGCTGCCACCCGCGCATCCCCCACTGGGGATGCACCCGCAACCCAGGTACATGCCCTTGACCGGAATCGAACCCGGGACCCTTCAGTCCGCAGGCCGACGCTCTATCCACTGAGCCAAACTGGTTTTGGCCCAAATGTCTGTTTTTTGTGCCAGTACCATACTGTTTTAATTACTACTTTGTAGGGTAGTTTGAAATCAGGGGGTGGGATACCACTAACTTTGCTTTTCTTTCTCAAGATTGCTTTGGCTATTTGGGTCTTTTGTGGTTCCATACAAATTTTTAGGATTATTTGTTATAGTTCTTTGAAAAATGCATTAGCATTTTGATAGGGATTGCATTGAATCTGTAAATTGCTTTGGGTAGTATGGACATCTTAATGCTAGCATTTTTTCCCCAATCCATGAGCACAGCATATCCTTTCATTTATCTGTGTTATCTTCAATTTCTTTTATTAATTTCATATTGTTTTCAGAGTACAGGTTTTTCACCTCCTTGATTAAATTTATTTTAGGTATTTTATTCTTTTTGATGCAGTTGTAAATGGGACGATTTTCTTAATTTATTTTTCTGATAGTTTATTATTGTGATAGGAACACAACAGATTTTTGTATATTAATTTTGTATCCTTATAGAATTCATTTGTTCTAATTTTTGTGTGGAATCTTTAGGGTTTTTTATTTATAATATTACTAGAAGCCTGGTGCATGACATTCGTGCACTGGAGAGGGGTCCCTCAGCCTGGCCTGCACCCTCTTGTAGTCTGGGACCCTTCGAGGGATGTCCAACTGCCGCGGAGGTGGAAAAGGCTCCCACCACCGCCACTGTGCTTGCCAACCATGAGCCCGGCTTCTGGCTGAGTGGCACTCCCCCTGTGGGAGTGCACTGACCATCAGTGGGCAGTTCCTGCATTGAGTGTCTGGTGGTCAGTGCATGTCATAGTGACCAGTCGTTCTGCTGTTCAGTCGATTTGCATATTAGCCTTGTATTATATAGGATGCCATCTGCAAATAGTAACAGTTTTACTTTTCCTTTCCAATTTGGATACCTTTTATTTTTTTTTTCTTGTCTGATTGCTGTGGCTAGAGCAATACCATGTTGAACAAAAGCGGTGAGAGTGGGCATTCATGTCTTGTTTCTGATCTTAGAGGAAAAACTTTCAGCTTTTTACCACTGAGTATGATGAGTGGGCTTGTCATATGTAGCCTTTATTGTGTTCAGGTATATTTCCTCTATACCCACTTTGTTAAGAGGTTTTATCATAAATAGATGTTGACTATGGTCAAATGCATTTTCTATTGAGATTATCATATGATTTTTGTCCTTTGTTTTGTTAATGTGGTGTATCATGTTGATTGATTTGTGGGTATTCAATCATCCTTGCATCCCTGGAATATATTCCACTTGATCAGGTTTATGATCCTCTTAATATATTGTTGAATTCTGTTTGCTAATATTTGTTGAGGATATTGCATCTATGTTCATCGGTGATATTTACCTATAATTTTCATTTTTTGTAGTATCTGTCTGGTTTTGGTATTGAAGTAATGCTGGCCTTTTAGAATGAATTTGGAAACATTTCTTACTTTTTAAATTTTTGGAATAGTTTGAGAGGGTAGTTATTAATTCTTTTTTAAATTTTTGGTAGAATTTACCTGTGAAGCCTGGTCCTGGAGTTTTGTTTGTTGAGAGTTTTTGATTACTGATTCAATTTTGTTACTGTTAATTAGTCTTTTCAGATTTCAGTTTGTTCCCCATTTAGTCTTGGAAGATTATATGTTTTTGAGAATTTATCCAGTTCTTCTATGTTATCTAATTTGTTTTGCATAATTGTTTATAATATTCTCAAAATCTTTTGTGTTTCTGTGGTGTTGGTTATAACTTCTCTTTCATGTCTGATTTTATTTATTTGGGCCCTCTCTTTTCTTCTTGATGAGTATGACTACAGTTCTATCAATATTGTTTATCTTTACAAAGAACAAGCCTAATTTCATTGATCTTTCCTATTTTTTAAATTTCTATTTTGTTTATTTCCACTCTGATTGTAATGTTCCTTTTTTCCACTAACTTGGAGCTTTGTTCTTTTTTTTCTAGTTTTTTTAGATATAAGCTTAGAATTTTTGAGATTTTTCTTGTTTCTGGAAGTAGTCATGTATCACTATAAACTTCCCTGTTAGACCTGCTTTTGTTCTTTCCTGTAGATTTTGGAACATTGTTGTTCCATTTACAATTGTCTCAAGGTACTGTTTACATTCTCTTTGATTTATTCATTGACCTATTATTGTTTAGTAGCATGTTGTTTAGCCTTCACATGTTTGTGTTTTTCCAGTTTTCTTTTTGTATTTGATTTCTAATTTCATACTGTTGTGTTTGGAAAAGATATTTGTTGTGATTTCAGTCTTTTTAAATTTATTGAGACTTGCTTTGTGGCCTAACATGTGCACCATCCTGGAGAATGTTTTATGTTCACTTGAACAGAATGTGTATTCTGCTGTTCTTCTATGGACTGTTCTATTAAGACCATCTGACCTAATATGTCATTTAAGGCCACTGTTTGTTTTTTGGTTTTCTGTCTGGATGACCTATTCATTGATGAAAGTGGGATGTTATTGTAATATTGTATTACTTTCAGTTTCTCCCTTGTGTCTGTTAATGTTTATTTTATATATTTAGGTACTCCTAAGTTGGTTGTTTAGATGTTTACAAGCTTTATATCTTCTTCTTGGATTGATTCCTTTATCATTATGAAATGTCCTGTGAATCTGAAATGAGTCTCTAGTAGGCAATATATGGATTTCACCTTTTTATTCATCCAGCCACCATATGCCTTTTGATTGGAGCATTTAGTCCATTTACATTTAAAGTAATTATTTATAGGTATATCCTCATTGACATTTTGTTAATTGTTATCTGGTTGTTTTGTAGTCCTTTTCTTACTCTCTTTCCTTGTGATATCATGACTTTTTTTTTGGTGTTATGTTTGGATTCCTTGCTCTTTACTTTTTGAGCTTTTTGGTGTGAAAATAATTTGTTTTAAGTTTTCTTTAAGTGGTGGCATAAGCTCTTGAAAAAAGGGAGGTCTGTGGATACATTTGTGTCTACTGGATGCCTGGCACAGGGCCTTGCATTTAGTAAGTGCTTAGTAGACAAATTAAATTAAGATGTGCATATGTATGGACAATGATATTGTATTAGAATTATTAAACTTGCTAAGTGACTAGAATTTAATTATTCCAAAAAGGATAATTATGAAAGGATAATTATGTAATGTGATAGTGATGCTAATTATTGCTACAATGCCAGTCATATTATAATATATAAATGTATCAGATTAATATGTTGTACACCTTAAATTTACACAATGTTATATGTCAAATATATTTTAAATAAAAAACGAAATGCAAATGTGATTCCTCCCTCTTCCAGAAGGTTGCTTGCCTTTTCAAAAAGATTATTTACCAAAATGAAATTTATTTCAATAGCATTTTAAAATTTGATTTAATTTGCCAAAACTATATTTAGACAGTTGTTCAGTAACACATCATATACATAATGTAAGATACATCTGTGTTCTCTCACTGGCTATGGAAAGGTAGAATAGATTGAGAATTAGAAGGTCAGAAGGAGGAAAACAGAAGGAGGTTGAATTTATGCTTCAGTTGACCTTAACGTTGGTCTTTTATTACTTGTATTTACAGTCTCTTTTATTTTTAAAGAGAAATGATGAGTCCAGGGGTTAAATGGCAGCTGACTGGAGATCAGGAGAAGTAGGCTTCAGTTCCCCTTCCTGAAAGTGTTCTGTCATGAAGGAGGGACTGCTACTTTGCTTCTGGTCTGAGGCCCAGTGATGTCTGATTTTCTAGGTCTTTTATTTTCCAGGTCTTGGCTCTGGGTAGTCCTAGAAACCTGAGATCTGTGAGGGTGTGGCCATGGCTTACCAGGAGCATGTTTAAAGGTGGGTGAATTAAAAGTGCATAGGATGAGACCAGGCTTTTTGCCTTAATATTTCTGAGGCAGTGATTGGGATGTTTGTCATTCCTTCTTGGTATTTCAACCTAACAGTTAGCCACAGGTTTTCCTCTGCCCTTCTGCGGGAGATTATTTAACAAGGCTTTGCCACAAAAACTTTTTCCCAGAGACCTTTGTCAGGAGGGCGCAAAGCAGCCTTCCCTGTGGGAGTAGAGTCACGTGACAGAAGAGCCAGTGTGAGACCATTGCTGAGACATTTATATGTGCCATGTGGTCATTGCTTTCTGGGGCCCAGAAGGCAATGGGGAGGCAGGCAGGAATCCATGTTTTTGCTTTCTTCTTGGAAGTAACTGTTTCTTCTCTTTAGTACTCTTTTGTGTCACAAGCATTTTTGATGGCTTTGTCTCTTGAGTACTGTCTTGAATAAAGCCCTGTTCTACTCAGACTCAGTGTGTAGGTCACCTAAGCGATTTAGCCTCCCTTCCAACTTTCTTCCCTGTTTTATAGCAATCCTTCAAAGTGAAACTTCAAGTGGTTGTCTACACTTGAGGTTCATTTTTTTTTTCAATTCTCTCCTCTAATTTATTCTTAAAATCTCCCTCAGTCAGGCCTTTTCCTCCATTACTCCACCAGTCTGTTCTTGTCAAGATGAACAATCACCTTTAAAATCCAGTGCTCATTTCGTAGTCAAAAGCAGCATTTGACGCAATTGCTTGAATGACTTGCTCCCCCTAGAAATACGAGCCTTGATAGACTTCCAGGATACCATATTCCCTGGCTTCTTCCTTCTCACTGGCTGCTCCTTCTCAGTCTTTCTTTTCTTTTAATGTTGCTCGTCTCCCTGACCTCTCAATGTTGGCCTAGTTCTTGAACTTTTCTCTTTTTGTGTACCCACATGCTTTGGTATTATCATTCAGTCTAATGGCCAACGACCATATATATTCTGACTTCCACATCTTTTTCTCCTACCTGGGCCTCTCCCCTGATCTCAGTTATTCAACTGCTTGTTCAAAGTATGCATTTGTTTGTGTAACAGACATCACATATTTATCATGTTCAAATATGAGCACTTAATCTTGCCTGCCCTTTCCCCACCTGCTTCTCTTGCAGTCTTTTCCACACAGCAAATGGCAGCTCCAGCCTCCCAGTGGCTCAGGCCAAAATCTTGGAGTCATGCTTGATCTTGACACTCTTTTCTTTTATATCTCACCCACATCCAAAGCAACAACAAACCCAACAAAAACAACAATAGTTTTCTTCTTAGCAACTCCAGTACTACCAACAGATTTAAAGTGCTATCATCTGTAATCAGGATTATTGCAGTAGGCTCTAGCTGGCCTCTTGTTTTTTGCTCTTTTGCCCTTTATTCAATTCTCAACACAGGAATTGGTGTTCAAACCTAAGTCAAATCATGTGTTATACTTCCACTTTACACTGTCCAACTGCTTCCCACCTTACCCAAAGGAAAAGGCAAAGTTCTCATGAAGGGCGTATGAGGCCTTTTATGAAGTGCTCCTCTCCTTCCCCTTGGACTTCAGCACTTGCTTTTCTTCCTTTACTCATTCAATTTTAGTTATATTGGCTGCTTTGATGTACTTCACACATGCCAGGCCTACTCCCACCGTAGAATCTTTGCTTGAGTTGCTTCCTTCCCCTTTCGCTCTCTGCCCGTAGTATTTCAAGCCCCTGCCCTTATCAGCTCTTTATTCAGAAAATTCACTTGCTCACTGACATCTTCTCTGACCGCTTTATTTAAACATGTAAAACTTCTCTCAGACAACATTTCCTCACCCCTTCCATGTTTTATTTTCCCCCATAGTATATCTTATTGTCTAATATTTATTGCTTTTATGTAGTTATTTTTCTTTATTTTCTACCCCACTCTATGAAATTCCATGAGAGTTGGAATTTTTATCAGTTTTCTTCACTGATATGTGGATGATACTCATAAGATAGCAACCCTGATGTTTGTTGAATGAATTGATATGAATGAAATATGAACAAATAAATACATTCAGGTGGTGTCTGACTCAGCTCAGGCTACTATAACAAAATAGTATAGACTGTGTAGCTTAAACAACAGAACTCTCAGCTCTAGAGTCCGGGAAGTCCAAAATTAATGGTGTTCACAGATGTGGTGTCTAGTTAGGGCTCTCTTCTATGGTAGGAACCTATGAAGGGTGTTGCAAAATAAGTATCTGGCAAAACACACACACACACACACACACACACACACACACACACACACACACACACACCTTTTTTGCTGTGTCCTTACTTAGCAGACAGGGAGAGCACTCTGGTCTCTCTTTCTCTTCTTATAAGAACATTAATTCCATCATGTGGTCCCCACTCTCATGACCTCATCTTACCTTCCCCAAAATACTATCACATGGGTTTAGGGCTTTAACATAGGAATGTTTTTGGGGTTGGGTTGGGGGGGCAGACATTCAGTTTATAATAGGTGGAGTGAGCTAGTTCAAGTCCAGGTGAGTCAGGGCTGAGAGGAAGTTAAGGGGAGGGTTGAGAGTGGTGTGTTCTGATGAGAACAGAGGATACCTGGGACTTAATTTGGGTTGTTATGTGGTGGTCTCGATGAAATATTTAACTTCTCTTTTGTAATAAGTGGGGACTCTTTATGCTCATTCTTTGGAAGATAGATGAAGATAGATAAGTCATCCCCGAGGATGCTCTGGAATGATGAGCAATGATTCAGACAATGAGAGGCAAAAACTGGTCAAGGAGGAAAATGCATTGCTGTTAGTGCTATTGGAATCCCGAGTCTTCAGCCCACTCTGGTTCCTTTATCTGCCTCATTAGGCATTGCTGTTTCTCACTAACATGGCTGAAACGGTGGCTTCTCAGAAGCTTTCTGTTCTTATGAAATAAACTTTCATAATCTTGTCACACTCAGTAAGATTCTTAGAGGGCTCAGGGTAAGGAGCAGCCACTTCAGCTGAAATAATTTGGGATATAACATGTAGGGTTGGGAATAAAGAGAAATCTTTTTGTGAATTATCATTTCTAGATATAGAGCATAGATAAAACTGTGACATTTGTAAACATCCTCTTAAAAGCACTTCACTCTTTGAACTGTTTAGTTAGTAAGGGTGGGGATGAAATATTATTTATTTACAGATAACAGAGCATATAAAGTGTCAGCACTTTTCCAAGAACTGAAGTGATTATCTGGGACAGGATTTCTATTTGGAAATTGTAGCTTACTCTAATTAGGTCATTTCATATCTATAACATAATATTAATACATTATTTCCTACTTTTTACATAACTAAAATTATTGGTGGTCCAAAATAAAGTAGAATTCTGAATTATGCTAGGTCAGTTCCTAGAAAATCAATTCAGTGTGACAGCTTTGGTTATCATGTATCTTAGAGATTTTATTTTTTATTAATGTAGGTATAGCCTTGAATGAGGCTCTCTCTGCTGCATCCATGTACCTAGGGGTCATCTGCAGGCACCTCAGTGCACCTGACGGCTTGAGTTGTTGCAGCCATCAGTACATCTCCCTTCCTGCTGCATACCATATCCCCAAAGTCCCACCCAAACTGGTGGCCTTTAAATTTAGCCCCAGTCACCAAGCTCACAGACTCACTGAAATGCCTCCAACACCCCAGAAGAGCTCAGGGTGTCCTGAGGAAAAGTAGGTCTTTCTCTGAAAGCGATTGCAGACCTGGGTTATAGTGCATCAAATGAACCCCAAGATGTTCTTTTGATGTTTATACTTTCTCAGAATTCTTTTTTCTTTTTTTTCTTTCTTTTTTCTTGTTTTGCCAGATACTTATTTTGCATTGCTTTGTTGTTGTTTGGTGAAAGAACAGACTTCTAACTTAAAAACTCAAGGTGAAGAGATGGTAGAAACAGAAGCATAAGATCAAGTGATGGGTTAAAACGCCAATGCTATGATCCTTAATGTAATTCTCCCTTTGATTGTTTTCACTTGAAAGAATGCCTTTCCTCTCTATTGTCGAGCACTACCTGCTGTCAGTTGGAGAGGGAGTTAAGTTGAGCAACTTGTCAAAAACTTTCTAAGCTCCCTTCATATGGTTCACAGAAACAGAGCTGGATTTTCATTTCTTCTCTCATTCAACAGGAGTCCCTTTCATGTTTGAAAATTGAAAACGCGTGTTTTTCTGTGTGGAGCGAGGATGTGTGTGCCCTGTGGCACACCTGTTTCTAATTTCCTGACTTGAAAGCAGAACCCATCAAAAGGAGCAGAAAAACAATTTCTTTCTGACACGCTGCTTCGTGTTCCTTACCGGACTGAAGGCCTTCGTGGCTTTGCCATCTTAGTTCCTTCTTTAGAAGGTTCTTGTTAGAGGCAGAGTTCACTGAATACAAGCATTGCCTTTTATAGCACAGGGCTGTTCCGGGCATTATTTTGTTGTGGTGGTTCTTTTCAGCCCAGGAAATTTACTTGAAATAAGATTAAAAAAAAACACATAGAAAAGTCTTAAAATATTTAAATGTAAGATTTAGCTGGGCAGCCTATGTTGAAAGAGTGTATGGAAGCTGATCAGTGAGCCCATTGGCCAGGACTAGGGTTTAGTTGAGCATATGAATGTTTAAATTCCAGAGCACTGTTTAACATAAATCAAATATTTCCAATGCATTACTTCAGATTTGTGTGTACTTTAAAGTCTTGCCAGCTTAAATGACTGTGAGACACAATATGTTGACTTGGAGATTTGTAAATTGATAATTTGTTGCTACGAAAGTTGTACATGGTATAACTCATCACTTTCCGAAGGTGCACAGTATATATGATGTTGGCAAGCTTTTATGAAAAAAAACCGGTGCCCAGGAAATTCAGGGCTTTAGCTCTCAGTGCCTGAAGTGTGGATCTTCAGTTCCTATCACAATTCCCTGGCCATTTGCTATATAAGGGGCATGTTCTTTATAACCAAACTTTGGTTTTGGCCTCCTACTTTTGAGAGTTATTTGGGATAATAATCTTAGTGGAATATG